TTAAGTTTTTTAATAACATTTTTTTTTCGGCAATATGATTTTTATAAAATGATTATTATTAGCAAATTTTTTAAAAAATTTAGCTGTTTGTAATTATCAGGTTGACCTACTTTTTTTCTTCGAAATATTAGGGAACCTGTATTTTTCCCCTGTATTAGTAAAGTAACCTGTATTAGTAAAGTTGCGCCCTTTAAATTTATCACAATCATTCTCATATTTGATATTAATAACTATTAATAACTATACACAATGTTTAGAACCTGTAACAAGAAAAAAAATATAATGACCCACATAATATATGTGTGTATATATATATATATATATATATATATATATATATATATATATATATATATATATATATATATATATATATATATATATATATATATATATATATATATATATATATATATAATTGTAATAATTGTCTTGATTAATACCAATATAGAGTGCTCAATTCAGAGTAGAGCAAATTACATTATATATATATGTATATGTATTTAGTCTTTTACCTAATTTTCCTGAGCTTGTTAAGTTTGCTTTTTTTTTAAAGTTGTATAAACTAAGAACTAATATTTAAAAAAAAAAAAAAAAAAACAAGGAGTTGAGGAATTTATTTTTGAGTCTCTTGAGTATTTAGAGTTTATCTTGTTTTTTTTTTGCTTAGTAAGTTGTTTTAAAAAAAAATTTTTTTTGTGTTTATGGTTTAATTGAACTTAATATGGTACATGATGTTATTAAATAAACACTGGTTGTTTATTAGTCAAGTAAGTTGCTAATGTAATTTCTACTAAATATTTCTAAAGTGTGGATTGATGATGTATTTGATGTTTAGCAAACAAGAATATAATTGATTTCTGTTAAAGTTTTTAGCATTTGTTATTTGTAGCAAAATGTTGGTCAATTACGTTTTAAAAACATTTTTTAATTTTGTTAACATTTTACTGAATGAAGCATTTTACCAGGTTATGTGTTGTTTGTGGTTATTTCTTGTGGTAAGTTTTTTTCTTGGTTAATATGTGAGTTTATAGGTGTATGGAGATTTTTTTCATCATTAGAAGAGATATTAAAACTTTTTTCATTAGACTATTTGGCAAATAATTGTAACTCAGTAATTTGTGAAAAACTTTTTATCATGTTAGATGGGTTTTTTCGATATACGAGTATATAACTTAAGTTGTTTCGGTATAAGTGTATTTTCATTATGAAGTTGTTATTTAGGTTTCGTGTTAAATTAAGATAAAGATAATCTTGTTGATAGAGATAATACCAATATTATTTTTAAAAGTTTAGACAAAAACCTTTTTTTACTTCATTTTGTCAGCCATATTTGTTTTTTAAAATAGCTGAACCATCATCTCTGTAAAATTATCTCTATATAGTCATCTAAGATGAGTCATCTGAAATCTTGTAAAATTATAATAAAAAAGTGTGTATACTATTATATATTCTTCTCTAAATCTTTTTACAGGTATCTAGTGATTCATATTTTAGTGGTTCAATTAGCAAGGTATTTGAAGTTCATTTGCATATTTACATTGAAGCACAAGACAGGTATAAAGTTTTCAATGTAATTTAAAATGTTTAGGCGATAAATTTGACTTTTTACATTTTGTTTGGATTTGTAAATTTTAGGAGCTTTTTTATGTTCATTTGAAGATTCTTAATATTTTTTTATAGAAATCTTCATGAATTAATGGATAAATTTCATTCTGATCTAAAATTACATGGAGTACCACCATTAGGGGAAGAAGCTGAAGGTGCAATACTCCCTAGTGCTGGTGAACTTTTTGTGTTTTACAAGAAATGTATGGTACAGTGTATTCAACTAAGTACTGGTAAGGCTCTACAATCATTGACCATGACATTTAAAAAATACTTGCTAGAATATGCAAACAAACTTCTAATGGCAAATTTACCCAAGTTAGTTAATTTATTTATAAGTTTTTTATTTTTTGCTTTTTTCTTAAACAAATAATATTTATATAGTTATTCAAATAAAAAGAGTTATGCTATAATTCGAGTTAAGTAATTCGAGTTATTATATAATTTTTCAAACTAAATAATTATGATATAGTTATTCAAATTAAATGTTTATTTAATTATTCAAACTAAATAATTATCATATAGTTATTCAAATTTAACATTTATTTAATTATTCAAACTAAATAATTGTCATATAGTTATTCAAATTAAACATTTATTTAATTATTCAAACTAAATAATTATCATATAGTTATTCAAATCAAATAGTTATTTAATTATTCAAACTAAATAATTATCATATCGTCGCCTTAGAGGGCAGAGGTTCTATCTCCATGTTGTGCTCAAATTCAACTATAACTTTGGGGACATCTATTATAAGTGCTAGAATCAGATTAGGCAGCGGGTCTATCTCCACATAGTAGGAGAAAAGCAATAAATTTGTGCGAGTTTTGAGCTATCTACATTTGTGCTGAATCCCAAAAGGGCAAAGGTGGGATCTCCTTTGCCATCTGACTATACCGGAGATATCTTCTTTGCCCTATGACGTAATTCTTGAAAATGGCAGACGAATACAAACGAAATATAATGAATAAACAACCTTTTATTAAAACAGAGGTAATTTTAAATAGTTTTTTTCGTAATTCTAAGAATCCACCATGGAATTAAACAATGGTTCAAAAAAGCGAACTTTCACTGAACCAAAAATTGGACGCAAACAAGGCAAAAGACCAAATCTTTGGAAACGATTTGTTGAAAAAGACAAAAGAGAGAAAGGAATGGCATACAAGACACGAAAAGGTAAAGCAGTACCCCCCAAAACACCTAGAACGGTGAACTGTTTAAAGTGCAAATTCAAGTGTGGAGAACATTTTGAGGAAACCAAACGACTAGAAATAAATAAACACTACTACCAACTAGTGATGTGCCGGGTACCCGGTTCGGACCCGGAGACCCGGTAATTCGGCAGTTTTACCGGGTACCCGGTATCGGCCATTTTGTTGCAGTACCCGGCACCGGGTATCTTCAAATTGATTTTTTCTTTAGTTAAACTTTAACCATTAAACTTCTTGATATAAGTCTAAGAGTTTTATGTAGTCGATAACCACAAAGTTCTATTAACTTAAAACAATCTCACTTAAAATATTTTTTAATACACTTTTGCAAAAAAATTAATATGGATACAAAAACTGTAACGCTAAATGAAATAATTCGAGAATAAAAAGAATAAAAAGAATGGGAAACAAAGTTTTAGAATAGCTTCTTTTTATTCTGTTAGAACACAAGATAATTTTTAGCAATTTAGTTTTGAATGAAACGCTTATAATGCTTTCGAACGCTGATAGACTTTTCATTCGTATCAAGCAAAAATCATAAAAGTAGAGATATAAGGTAAATATTATACACATTTTTCATATTTTAATTTCGAGCGTATTATTAAAAAAATTATCGTTTCATATAAAATAAACGAAAACTTTGATATCAAAACTATTTTCATTATCTTTATAGAAATTTTATTTGAAAGAAAAGTTATGGCAAAAAAAAAGTATAGCGTGGAAGTTCTTTGATATAAGCACGACTCCTCATATGAGTAAGTGCAAACTATGTGAACATTTGCGTTTAAAGCATTCCAAAGAGTTTGAACTTGCGGAAGAATAAAAAAAAAAGTTCAATCGTTGCCGTCTATTTCTGAAGCCTCAGTTGCTTCTACCACCAATACAGTACAAAGTAACATTATTCAGGCTTTAAAAAAAAAAAACAGTGGAATATTGATGACCACAGATCTATTCGAATCCATAAAATAATAGGAAAACTTATCACATTGGTTATTCAGCCATTTTCTATTGTTGAAGATACGGGCTTTAATGAACTGATTAAAGATGCTTACCCCAATTACAAATTACCATGTAGAACATATTTCAGCCAAAAAGTAATCCCTAGCATGTATGATGAACTTTTTAAAGATATAAAAACAAAAATCTCCGCGGCAAACTATTTGTCTCTGACGACAGATATTTGGACAGCGGATACTGCAAAAATCGCATTTTTAAGCATTACTGGACATTGGATAGATCTAACTAAATTTTCCCAAGAAACTGCTGTTCTTCGAGTAATTCATTTTCCGGAAATGCACACAGGTGTTCATATAAAAGAGTATTTACAAAAAGGTTTAGAAACTTTTGAAATCCCGTTAAGCAAAATTCATCTTATTGTTACCGATAGTGCAAGCAATATGAAGGCTGCAGTAAAAAACAGTGGAATGTCATCAATTCCAGCTTTATCCTACTTTGCAGCTATGTATTCATGACTCTATATTTAGCCAAGAAATCATCAAGGAAATTTTAACTTTATGCAGAGGAATAACGACACATTTTAATCATTCACCAATAGCATGTGCAAAATTAAAATTAATTCAGCAGCAGTTAAGTACAGTACCTCACAAAATGAAACAAGATGTTCCAACACGCTGGAACAGTTCATTTGAAATGCTACAAAGAACGTTTGAACAAAAAGTTCCTTTGGCCACCTATGCAGCAGAATATGATGAAATTAAACTTCCTACTAATTATCAATGGGGAATAGTCGAAAAACTTGTTCACATTCTTGCTCCATTTGAAAACTTAACAAAAAAATGTGGTAGGAGGGACGAAACTTGCGCACAAATTATACCATCTGTTCTTGCATTAAAAGTTTTATTACAAAAAGCTTCATCAAGTGATATATACGCTGGGATTATGACGATGATTGATGAACTAATAAAATCTGTTACTAAAAGACTTGATAAATTTTTGCTTAATAAAATGTTATGTGTATCAACATTTTTGGATCCACGATATAAATTACTTTATCAACATGCAGATGAAAATGTTATTAAGGAGTGGGTTGAAGAAGCATGGAAAGAAATGCAAGGAGCGCAAGATGTTGTTGACTCTGACTCCGACAATGCTCCAATAGTAAAAGCTCCAGCATCTAATGGATTCATTAGCATTGATGATTGTTTTAAAGATGAAGCTTCTATGAGAACCGGAAGAAAGCAGAGTGAAAGACGTTCCGAGGCAGAAAGAGAATTAGTAGATATTGAAGTTGTTACCACTGACATAATTAAGAAGCAAACAATATTAAAGTCTGCAATTACTCAAGAAATAGACAACTACTTATCTCTGCCTCTTTTAGAAAATAAAAGTTCTCCGTTTTTGTGGTGGAGTAAATGTGGAATGCAATTTGAAAAACTAAAAAAGATGGCATTAAAATATCTTACAACACCTCCGTCATCAATAGAAAGTGAAAGGTTATTTAGTGCTGGTGGGGACATATACGAAGCTACAAGGAGCAGACTAAAAGCAGATAACGGAGAATACCTAATGTTTGTGCATTACAATCTAAAGTTAATAAAACAATTAAAATAAGATACAGCAAATAAGTGTTGTTTAAGTTCTTTTTATTTGTTTTATTCTATTCACTGTACAGTCGAGAAGGTCTACCTTTTTTTGCAATTCTTTATATTTCTTAATCTTTTGCTTTCCATAATATAACTTTCAATGGCGGAACTTCAAATTTTGCCCCTTTACCCACAAAATATTATTTAGGCCCGCTCCACCAGGAAAGAAAAATAATTTTAAACTAAATATAGTTGTTAAAAAACTGTTGCACAACTTTTTAAAATAGTTAGGCCCTGCAACTCAGGCCCCTTACCCTGCATTGCGGGGTTTTGCTAAATAGTACGTCGGCCACATAACTTTTTGTTAGTTAGCGTAAAAAGCGTATTTTGTGTGAATAGTTCAGCCCTAGAGATTTCACAAATTTTTATTCCAACTTTTAAAAAATGGACTCGGTGCCGAGTACCCGGACTCGGACCCAGTTTTTTCAGCCGGGTACCCGGAATCGGAGACTCGGCATAAACTGGTTCCGGCACATCTCTACTACCAACTAGAGGGTGAAAATAGAAAAAAAGATTTCATATGCCATTTAGTGAAAAGTAGCAATGTTTCATGTCGTCATGACAATTCAGGAATAAGACCAAAAACAATATCCTGTGCATATCATCTGCCAGTGGAAGCGAATGAAAACATTGTCATTAGAGTGTGCCAAAAAAATTTTTGCACGACTTTGGACATAAGCAAGAAAACTGTTCAGTTTGTTGTAAAAAATAAAAATGAGATTGGTCTTTTCATACCGCCAAATTCAAAAAAAGGAAAAACTCCAGCCATTAAGACTTCAGAAATGCGAACCAATGCAGTTCGAGAGCACATCCTAAGCTTTCCTCAGGTCGAATCTCACTACTGTCGGGCTTCATCAAAGGCAAAATACCTTATTCCTGAACTAAGTATTGAGGAACTTTATAGACTATACAAAAATGATTATTGCACAACGAAAAATATCACAGATCCAGTTTCTATCGGTGTATATCGAAGAATATTTGTTACTGATTTTAATATAAAATTTTTTATTCCCAAAAAAGACCAATGCTCGATTTGCAATGCTTTTCAAGATGCCAGTGGTAATGATAAAGAAACGCTACGACCAAATTATAACAGTCATAAATTTCGTGAGAAGGAAGCTATGGACGAAAAAAATTCTGATAAGACTGCATCTGCTGCTGACAAGTCCATTTGTTCTATAACTTTTGACCTCAAAGCAGTGTTACCACTTCCATTTGCAGGTGATGCACAAATTTTCTATATGTGGAAACTTGCCGTTTATAATTTTACTATTTATGAAACGTCGACCAAAAAAGGAATTTGTTACCTATAGGACGAAAGTGAAAATAAACGAGGAGCCAATGAAATAAATACAGCTCTGTTAGATTATATGAAGTCTTCTCCAGTTTCTGTGAAGAGGGTGACTTCTTTTAGTGATACGTGCTCTGGACAAAATAGAAACCAATTTATTGTTGCGACAATGATGTACATTGTTCAAACAACTCACCTGGAATGCATCGGTATGAAGTATATGGAGTCGGGTCATTCTTATTTAGAAGTTGACTCTATGCACAGTACTATTGAACGCAGTAAGAGAGCCATCAAAAAATTTACACTACACGAGAATACAAAGTTCTGATTGCTGCAGCGCGCAAGAAGTGTCCATATCTTGTTAAACCACTGCAACACACCGATTTTTTTGACTCAAAACAACTTTGCGGTAAAATTGTGTAAAATCGTACAAAAAATATTAAAGGTGAAACCGTCAACTGGTTGAATATTAAGTGGGCAAGGTTTGAAAAGTCAAGACCGTTCATTATGCAGTGCAAATATAGCATTACGTCGCCTACCTTTATGGAAATAAATGTACAATCTGGAAGAGGACGACGATCAAACATCGAAGGATTAGAGCCTCAGCCATTGTATCCTACTCGCCTGCCTATTTCGGATGCGACAAAAAAAGATCTCATGCGCATGGTGAAATCGCGTGTTATTCCACCAGATTATGCCCAATGGTATAACAACCTACTGTCTGCAGTAGCCATGAGAGACAGTTTACCAGAACCAACTGCTGATGAGTCAGAAATTGATGAATCGGACTATGAAGACAACTAGAACTAAGACTTAGTTTTCTGTCAGTCATTTTTTTCAGTATTACTGTTATTATTCTGTTATATAATTTTGCTATTAAAACAATTTTTGTTCTTAACTCGGACTATGAAGACAAGTAGCACTAAGACTTAGTTTTCTGTCAGTCATTTTTATCAATATTACTATAGTAATTATTCTGTTAAATTTTTCTATTATAACAATTTTTGTTCTTTACTCGGACTATGAAGATAACTAGAACTAAGACTTTGTTTTTTGTCAGTCATTTTTTCAGTATTACTATAATAATTATTCTGTTATATAATTTTGCTATTATAACAATTTTCTGATTTTTCTGCTAATTAAGATTAAGATTTCACTTAGAATTTAATAATATTGATTACAAAAACATTAATTACAAATTTTTAAATTCTGTTCAATTCACAGTTAATTTGAGTAAAGGTTCTATCTCCATGGTAATTGTAAAATTTGTCCCAAAATGTTACTAATTTTAAAAAGTTTGGACCATGATTGTCATTATCTGATAGTTTTATCTGATACACAATCATAAAAAGCATTTTGTATTAATTAAAAAAGAATTTTAATTGGATTCATTATGTTTATAAATTTCAAAAATTCCATTCAACTCGCAATTAATTTAGGCAAAGGTTCTATCTCCATGATGACTTTTATAATTTGTGCCATACTCTCTTCAATGTTAATAATTTCAAAAAAGTTGAAATATTCCTATCATGTTTGATAGTTCTAATTGATCAAAAAACATTAACACTAACAAAAAATGAAATTGCTGATTTATGCTTAATGCTCAAACTTTGTTTTTGTTCTCCTGCAAAACTACCCAAAATGGAGATAGAACCTCTGCCCTCTAAAGCAACGATATAGTTATTCAAATTAAACATTTATTTAATTATTCAAACTAAATAATTACCATATAGTTATTCAAATCAAATGGTTATTTAATTATTCAAACTAAATAATTATCATATAATAATTTATTATTAGAGTTGAAGGAAGTAGTCTTGTTAGCATTTTAAAAGATACAGAAGTAAAATTTAATGAAGACGAAAAAAGATTAATTTGTTGTGCACTAACCACTGCAGAGTACTGTCAAGAAACAACTGTACAAGTGAGAAATAGTTGTCAGAATTTCAATACCATTTATAATTATTATATTTTTATTCATTTATTATTTATATCTATGTCATATGCGTGTGTGTGTGTGTGTGTATATATATATATAAGTGCAATAGTTTATAATAGTTTATTGCCTTTCTAGTATAAAATTGTTTAATTGCAATTTTTTTTTGCAACCTGTTTTGATGGTTGAAAAAAAAAGTTAACCCCAAAATTCTTTTGTTCTATTATTTTTATTTTTATTAGTTGCAAGAAAAGCTGAAAGAAAAAGTAGATAAAGAGTTAGTTGATAACATAGATTTGAATGCAGAACAAGATGCTTTTCACAAGTAAAATTTTTCTTTTATAGTTTAATTTTTGTATTACTTTTTAATATTTTCTTAAGCATTTGTATGATTTTAAAACTTTTATTGCAGAGTGGTTGTTTTTATTTTAGTGTTATATCTTGTGCTATTCAACTTCTTGTTCAGGATCTTGAAAATGCTTGTGAACCAGCTCTAATTGCCATGACAAAAGTATTTTGTTTACAATTTGTTCTTTTAATTATTTGGTTTTAGCTATATGAGTTTGTACTACTTTTATTTATCTATTCTGTGTTGTTTGATTTTCATATATATATATATATATATATATATATATATATATATATATATATATATATATATATATATATATATATATATATATATATATATATATATATATATATATATATATATATATATATATATATATACATTGCTTAAAGTGGAGAAAAAAAAGTAACGGGATGGTATTTGGTAAATTAAAAATACCATCTCGCCTAATCATTACTATATAGAGAGATTTATAAAAACATGGCGGGATGGTTTATACTTTATAAAATGGGGACGGGATGGCATCTGCTGCATCCCGCCTCACTTTGAGCACTGTGTGTATCTATATATATATATATATATATATATATATATATATATATATATATATATATATATATATATATATATATATATATATACAGGGCCTATTCTAGAAAAAAAATTTGGGTGGCGGTGCCCCCTCGTTCTGGCAAGTTTTTGGGTTGTGTCCAAATACGGTTGATTGACGGTCTAGAATAGCCCCTGATATATATATATATATATATATATATATATATATATATATATATATATATATATATATATCAGGGTTTATCTCTGCCGCTGCACTTCTGAAAGGGAGGCGGGACACGTTAAAATAATAAAACTGTATTTTTTCAACATTAGTTTGTAGTTGTTATTTTTTTAATCTCTCATATTTAAACATCATATAAAATAACATTTAAACATATATATTTAAAAACTTTATAATTTTCTTGTTTGGCCGAGTTTAAAATAGTTTAGTTTACTGTTATAATTTACAGCTTAAGCTATAGTTTAAAGTTTAAATTGCAGTTATAGTATAATGAGCAAGTTATGGTGTAATTAGCTAGTAAAGTATTTAATACTATTACAATATTATTTTTAGTAATTTTTTTTTTACTTAACATGATTTCTTAAAAAAGTAAAAGTAAAAACGCAAACTTTAAACCATTTTAATTAATTGTAGAAAACTATTTAAAACGTTCATGCTGACGATAAAACAAATGTTATTTTTAAAGAGTATTGCATTGTTATAGTAAAAAGCTATAAAACAGCGATAAAACGAACGGAAAAGTTTTGACAATATAAAGTGCTAGTGTTATTGTAAAACAACTTCGTGGCACTGTTCGTGTTGCTGTTTTATAAAGTTAAGTTTTTATAAAATTAACAACACGAAATGCGTTTAAAATAAAATGAATTAAATAAATATAAATGTTTAATTTGAGAAAAATGCATAAGCATGCGTATTGTGGACCAAACAAGTAAGGCCAAAGCAAAAAAACATCAGATACCACGTTTTTTATAATTTATTGCTATTACCATTAAAAATTTAAGTATAAATAATTTTTTCATTCAAATGGTTTTTTAGTTAATGTTTTCATTCAATTTTTTTGTTCAAATTGTTTGTAATAAAAAGTGAGAAAAAATTTTGGTTAAATAAATCAATTTATATTTTGTTAAGTTTAAGTATATGCTTAAATGATTATTTTGGAAAATAATTTCATTGAACAAAAGTAAAATAATTTTTTTTAATTTAAATTTTTTATAATTTGATTTTTGGTTAAACGTTTGCAATAATCGCTGGTTAAGTTTTTGCAATAGAATGTTTCTACTTTAAAAACTATTTTCAAGAAACAAAAATAAATTTATTATTCAATATGTTTACAATTTAAATAAAATTTTCTTTCTTGCTTCCTTCCTTGCTCGCATGCTCTATGTTCTAAATCTGATATTGTTACTGTAGTTAGATATGCGTTAAACTTTCAGGAATGATCCTTGTTATGCCACTGGGTATTATGAACGCAGCTGCAATTAAATTTATAATTATTGAAAGTTAATATTTTTTAAAATTTTCCTTATTTAATTTCAATTTTTAATTACAAAAATATTTGAATGAATGAATTTTAGAAGACTTTTTTTTAGAAGAATTCTTTTGTTCAAATAAATTTCTTTTTAAAAAGTTCCTACAAACAACTTGAATATTTATAGGAAATGTTTAACCTTGTTATCGCTTTAAATAAAATTTAAATATGAAAAAATGGTATTGCGTTTTACATATTTTATTTGACATTTCTTGTTTAAACAATTTTTAGTTAGAAGCTTATATTATGTGTTAACAACATATAGAAGATAAAAGGAACATTTGTATGGCTAACTTTTACAAGTTTATAAGAATATTAAGTAAATTAATATAGTTGATAAGTTAATACTTGAGTAACTGTAAGTTACAGTAACTTAATTGGTTGTTTTGATTTAGTTTATAAGTAAATTTAATGTGATGTACTCCATTCAGTAAATCAAAGTAGATATAACTTTAAAAGGTTCAAGGTTGTTAAAGCAAAAAATGTTGAAACAAAAAAGTTACTAGTATTGATTAACTATTAGAAAATTTTTTGATGAAAGCAAATTTAATATATATTTTCATATACTTAAAGTAGTAAAATTAATAAAACAAAATAGTAATAAATAAAATTGTTGATAAAATAATAATTTAAATTATTAGTAATAAATTAATTTGGTGCAACATTTAAAAAAAAAAAACCAGGCTGTTTTATTAAAAAAAAAAATGAAGAAAAAATTCGCATTAACGTCTTTTCCTTACCAAACTTTTCGCTTTAATGACATTTTAAAATATTATTAGCTTCCACGCAGAGATTTAAATTCAAAAGTGCTTTACGTTGAATGAAAATCTCAGCGCAAACGAGCTACATGCTTCTATTCAAGAGATAAATTTAGCGTGACGTACTTTATGAACCCTAATTTAAAAAATTTATACTTTATAAATTATATATTATTTTTAAAATACTAGATATATGAAATATGAAATTCATACTGAATTACTTTCATATATCTAGTATTTTAAGGCTTTCTACCATTTTCAATTACTATAGTTTTTAAGGCTTTCCTACCATTTTACTTTTCTATAGTTTTTATTTTTTTCTTTGTTAATACCATTTACAGAAAATTCAAATCCAGATCTGTGATTTTTTTTTTAATTTTTTTGTCTAATACTCTTCTGGAGTTAATTTTAGTTAAGCAACTTGGACCAACTATAAATATATATATATTTATAGTTGGTCCATATATATATATATATATATATATATATATATATATATATATATATATTATATATATATATATATATATATATATATATATACTATATATATATATATATATATATATATATATATATATATATATATATATATATATATATATATATATATATATATATATATATATATATATATATATATATATATATATATATATATATATATATATATATATATATATATATATATATATATATATATATATATATATATATCATATATATATATATATATATATATATATATATATATATATATATATATATATATATATATATATATATATATATATATATATTATAAATAAAACTACATATAAACTATAAGTTTAATGGTAAATACAATCATCAAATCAAATATAGTCAAATATATTTCTGAATAAAAGTTTTTACATCATGGATATTTAAATATAGTAATGAGTACTAATATTAACCCTTTGTGCGCTCGATAAAATTTGAACTCCGTTCAGAAAAATTCAACTAAAAAAATATCGGCAAAAAAAATCGGCAATAAATGTAACAAAAAAACAACTATTTTTGAACTTTTTTATTTTTTTGTAGGTTATATAAGATTAAAAGAAGTTTAATGATTTTAATGCACAATTGTTGTGTGATAATTGGAAAAACAGGCTGGACACAGTCCAACACCATATAACTGACACTGCCAACTTGTGCGGACTCGAGATTGGTGCCCAGCTACACATTTTATTTTTTTTCCTGCACCAACCTTAACAAGATTGTGACCATATAATGGATTGCTACTTGCAGTGTGTTGGGGAAGTGGATATGGGACAATTGTACTTCTAGCCACTTCAATCTCTTTTGATGTTCTTCTTTTAGAAATTACTTTTACTGGAAAATAACCTCCGGCTAAACTTTCCACTATAGCCATCATAAAATCTATTCTTGACATTGGCTTTTGTTCATTTGTATTGAGCTTATACAATAAATAGCTATTTTAAATTGCTCTACCAAATAAAGAAAAAGCAACTTTAGTAGTCCACTTTATTGTTCTACGCTCAGACAAGTACACATAGAGCTGTGCATCACCCAAATCTACACCCCCATGGTTTTATTGTAAAGGGCAACAACATTTGGTTTCATAACTATATTTCCTCTTCTGTTACGCATTTCAGTAAAACCTGCTTTGGCAACAGTAGATAATAATATAGGTTTTTTTTTTACCATCTTGGTATGCCACACACAACAAGTGACCTTTTCTATATTGGCATACCTCCTTATTTTTTAATTTCGATTTAATGCAGGTTTCTGGTAGGCTTTTCCTGTTGACTAATGTTAAATAATTGTCAATACCTAAGTGATGACCTTGGTGGAGAAAATTAGTTTGGCGCAAAAGACGAAAAACTAAACTATAAGTCATACCATAGGCAATGGCTGCTACATCTGGGTCTTTTCCTCCCTTGTAAATTTCAAATTGACACAAATAACCGTTAGTGCTGTCTGAAACACACCATAACTTAATCCCAAACCTAGAATGACGTTTGTTTGGCATATATTGACGCAGATGTGGTGTCTTTCCTTTGTAGCCAACCATACTCTCATCTATAGAAATGTCTTTTTGTGGATAATAATAATATAGAAATTTGTTGTTAAAATGTTCAACTAAAAACTGAATTTTATAAATTTTATTGAGTGGTTGTTGAGTTGGTATATGGATGTCTGTAAAATGAAGAAATTTAAGCAAAAGTTGAAACCGGTCACGATTGAAGTGGGTAACAAACCAGGGAGTAGATGCACAAGGATGACTTATATCCCAGTAAAGTTTAAGATTAGCTTTTTTGATGAAAACCATGTTGATTATGACTCCAAGGAAAGCTCTTATCTCTAAAATTGGTCTTTCCTTGTTTAATCCATCCATGACCTCTTGATGTTGGATGGGACCTCAAATGTTGTTGATTGTTTTGAATCCACGTGTCAGCATAATTATTAGTAAAATTTACTATGTTTTGCAAAAATTCAGTTGTAAAAAACAAGTCCATATATTCAATAGGCTTAGACTCAGGTGAAATTGAGTGCTTGGGTCCTGATTCACCAGTAAAGTGAACAATATTAAGACCATTTTCATCTTCTAGAACAAATAACCAATCGTCTAAAACATTACCACCAACATCAACATCGCCATCAAAACTGAAGTCTACATAAAAATTAAAATAAAAACTTCAAATTATCATACTAGGTGATATATTTGTATTAAATAATATTGTTTACAATTTTTTAATTAAAGTTATCGTGCCTTCATCAAACAAACTGTCATCGCTGGAACTTAAAAATTCTTCGCTGGTACAACTCTCGTCATCCATACAACTTTCTTCACTGTCGCTCATTTTCAAAATTAAATATATAACAACAATATACCAAAAGATAGAGAAAAATGTGCTCTATTCAATGCTACCATTTTTAATGAAAATCAGCGGTATTTTGCTAAAAAAAGTCGTAGTTTCAAAGACCACTTTTAAAGCCACGATCGTGGCTCTTCGCGCTCTGACGGTATAGCCACGATCGTGGCTCGTCGCGCTTAAAGGGTTAAGTAAACACCTGTCAAATTCAATAATAATAAAAATAGTGATAATAACAACAATAAATATAATATAGGTATCAATCAGGGCTGTGGAGACAGCGTTGCAGAGTTTTTATCGCTTTTTCATTCTTAGCGGAGTCGGAGTCGCTAAACAAAATTGTGACTCCGACTCCAATTGTAAAACTTCTCGGTGTTGCATGTACATGTATAAAACATTCATGTTTATACTAAACCTCAAAGAACGTTTCATAAATTTGTCAAAAAAAATTTTGTTAACTTAATATTTTTTAAGGAATTCAAAGAATTTTTCAAAAAATTTTGCATTGGAGTTGGAGTCGGAATTGGAGTCCGAGTCGGAGTTGCACTAAAAAAATTTCAACAACTGGAGTCGGAATTTTTACTTTTTTTTTATGACTCCACACCTCTGGTATCAATTGTAGTAGTAATTATACAAAGTTATACTATAATAATATAACAATAATAATATAACAACAACAATAATAACAGTAGTAAATAAAATAATTATTAAAACAACAAAACACTAATAATAACAATAATAACACTACTAATATTAGTAAAAATAGTTAAAAGTAGTTAATAATATAATTATACATATAGTTAACAATATAATATATATGTAAATATTTATAAAAATACCAATAAGCAATTGTAATGGAAACAAAAAATATTATAGAAATTAAATATATCAAACGTGTTTTATTATTAACAGTAATAATAAACATTACTTAAAGAAAATAAAAATTGGTTATAGAAATTATAAATATTAATTGTATTTTTTTAATAAAATGTAGAATAAACTAGTTTTAAAGGTTGAGAATAAATTGAGAGTTCGTAAGAAAAGTTGTTCCAAATATGCGATTTTTTCTCGTGAAAAAATAATTCTGTACCAGAAAAAAATGTGTTAAAAAAATCTATGGTTATCCAGCAAAAACTTATTCTCATGGGGACACTTGGATATTAGTTTGCTTTAATGTTTAATGATTCTTTAGGACTTTTATACAAAATATATAATATATAAATTTTTAGTTTTTCATATAAGTAAAATAGGTATTTTTTAGTTATGTTGTTGTAGGCGGGGGTGCTTTTAATGATGAATCATGTTAAATTGGGTTTTTTTTTTTAACTTATCCTTTTTTATCCCATATGTATTTTAAAAATTGTGGTCGCTTTTTTAATCTTTTTGTTTTTGAACAGTTGCTGGTTAGCTCATCTGTGGGAAAACTGCAAATCATTCTATTCATTATTTGATCTCTAACTCAGTCAGCTTATACAATGTTCTGAATTATGTTTTGAATATAAGCATTGGGTTGTTTTTTTCTAAAGAATAAATGGCTTCCCATTAGTTCAACTTTCAAGAGAAAAAGCATGATTTTTCAATGTCTGAATAAACTACTTTTGTCATTATTCCTTCTGTTTTTACAATGTCACCTTTGACATTTCAATCAAAACAGCCCCACACTTAAACACTATATCTACCATGTCTCGCAGTCAATAATGCACTAGATAATTTCACTGCTTTATGATACATTCAACAACTTTTCTTTGGATTAACAATCACCTCTTGAAAACATAGATTTAAAACTTGGACACATCGGTCCACACTTACAGTTGTTGATGATCATTTTTATGTAGTTTTGCCCACTTAAATACTTTTATTATTTTTGTGATTTTATCAAAACATTTTTATCTAAATACTTTTATGTTTATTAAATTAACTAGTATTGCAAAAAAATATTTAAAAAAATATATATTAAATCACTGTCATTCGAATAATTATGGACGTTAAAAAAATATAATATAATAGAATATAAATTATGTTAATGTATTCTACAAATACAGTGCTCGTTCTTAAAGAATAAAGCAGTGATAAATTAGTAAAGCATGTATCTATTATTCTTCGATATCTGTTCGATATTGTATCTGTTTCTCCTTCTGTAGGTTTATAAGGAAGAATGTCTAAATATCAAAAAATTCCAATTATAAAAAAAATTCAGTAGAAGTTGGGAAAAGTTACAATAACTGTAGTTATTTTGCAACAAGGAAGTTGCGTTAGCTAATTTTTTCAACAAAATTAATTGTATACATATATGTTATATTTCTTTAATCAGATACATTGGCAAAGTATTGAATCTGTGGGTGACCAAAGTAGTTATGTAACAGCAATTATCTCCCATCTGCGCAAATTAATTCCAACTATAAGAGACAATTTGTATTCATCTAGAAAGTATTTTACACAGTTTTGCATTAAGTTTGTGAAGTAAGATTTGTATTGTTTTTTGTTTGTTCATTTGTGTTATTTGTTATTCTGCTGAAAGAAATTTTAAGTTTTCTTGGTTTCAGTTCTTTTATTCCGCGATACATCAACAACATTTACAAATGCAAACCTATTAGTACTGTTGGTGCTGAACAGGTTTGTTTATTTTTTATTTTTTTCAATGGTAGTTATTTCACTGTATACTGTTACTTTAAAAGTATTTTATTTTTAGCTCCTTCTTGACACCCATTCTATAAAAACAGTTCTTTTGGATCTGCCAACACTTTCTTCTGCTATTCAACGAAAGCCACCTGCAAGGTAAATATTTGTATATGATTATATATAATTTACAATTAATGCTAATGATTAGCACAATAAATATATTTTTGGGTGTGTTTGCATTTCCTATACACAATTTTAAAATCTTGTTAAAAATTTAGTGTTTAGTGTATGTAAGTTAAAAAATTAAATAGAAAAATCAGTATATTTAGTCACTTTGATGCTAGATTGATATTTGGATGATATTTGGACAATTTTAAGTAATATTTGGACAGTTTTAAGTAAGATGTTTAAAAAGTTCTATTGAGTTATTTAAGTAAATTTTATAAATTTTTCTTAAATTATTTTAACTTCTAAAAGATTGTGAACAAACATTTTATTTTGTTAAATAGGTAACACATTTTAATGTTCGTTATTTTTGTAAACTTTAACAAGGTGTTTTCGAATTCTCAATTTTTAAATCCTTGTTAACATTCTTTGTTCAATAATATTAGTTCATACCCATAAAATGTTAAAAGATTTTTGATAGTAAAAAAAAATTGCAAAAGTTATTTATAATATATATATATATATATATATATATATATATATATATATATATATATATATATATATATATATATATATATATATATATATATATATATATATATATATATATATTAATAAGTTATTTATTATTGATAAGATAATGAAATTTGTATATGTACATATGTATGTGTGTGTGTCAATATATATATATATATATATATATATATATATATATATATATATATATATATATATATATATATATATATATATATATATATATATATATATATATATATATATATATATATATATATAGATTCATTTAATTTTTAAAATAAAAACAGTTAAACTTTAACTTTGCTGCTTTATAATGCTTTATAGCTATAAAAATACAAAAAGTAAATATTTTGTTGAAAATTGAATGATACAATAACACTTTTTTTTTTTTTTTTTTTTTTTTGTTATAGTCATTTACTATAAACTAGTGATTTGATAAAATCTTCCAAGTTTTTAAAGTTTCTTAAATTTGTGAACCAATACTGAAGTGGGTTATCTTTTTATTTTATTTTCCAATCCAATTCTATCAAACATCATATATGAGAATATATCAACTAGTGATGATAAAATTAATCATTGTAATTTCTGTTATCAATCCAATGGATCTATTGTTATTCCAATTGATTTTTTTTTAGAAAAGATATAATTAAAAAAAAAAAAAAGTATGTTAAAAAATGTATAATAAAAAGATAAAGCATTCACAAATTTTTAATTTAAAAAACAATTAAATTGTGTAATTTGTTACAATTTCACATTTGATCAATTAAGAAATTTTCCATTGGTTCTTCAATCAACAAAAGTGGTTTTGTTATTGCTACAAATAAACAAAACAATAATTTCCCTTTTTTTCCATGGTATAACTGAAGGTTATGTAAACTAGTTAACTGAAGGTCAAATACTAAATAAACTAGTTTCAGTATGTTAATGAATCTTGGGTCATAAAAATTATTTTTTCCTTTAATATAAATTTCTTTATGAAATAAATTGGCAAACAAATAATTACAAATATACTAAAATCAAAATAGTCAATAAAACAAAGTTTTAATTTTTTTATTGAAAAAAATAAAAAAGGTGTAGTTATTACAATTAAAGCTGTTTAAACACGAAGTGAGAAGGTTTTAATATAATATTTAGAAACCAGGGTTGGCATTAAAAAATTCTGAAACCATTTCTCATGAGGCAAATCATCAATTTTTTTCTACATATAATGCATGGAGCAATATCACAATAAAAAACTAATCAACTTAATAAAAAATAAAAAGTTTATTAAGTAGTGCATGGTGCAGTTTTTTTTATCAGCTTGACCTTTAGATAAATTGAATTTTTCTCATTTAGTCTCATCAATTTATTGTCAGATAGACGGTTAAATCCGCTTGCTTGTGAGCGAGTTGTTACTTTAGATTTGTGTAAGGTAGTAATAGTATGACATTTAATAAATGTATACAGCCAATTTTTCCTACTTATTGTTTTTTGTTGTTGAACCTATGCTGCAACCCAATTTTATCCTTAAGCTGGTAGGTTAAGCGTTAAATATCCATTCAAGATAAACTTAAAAAATTTTTTCCCATAATTTTATCTATGTCAGTAACTCTTCCAACTCTTCATCAAAAGTCTTATAAAACCTGCCAAGGTGCTTTTTATAACCATTTGTAAATTTGTTTATTATTTATACAGCTTAAGAGAGTCTGCCGTGGTCATACTCTTTGCTGGCTTTACTTAATGACAGGCTACTATTATTTACTTTCTAAATTGTTTCCTCCATTGTTTCATTCTCATTTAGATTTATGCAAGGATGTAGGATTATTAATACTAATTGACAACTATATATATATATATATATATATATATATATATATATATATATATATAAATATATATATATATATATATATATATATATATATATATATATATATATATATATATATATTTATATATATATATATATATATATTTTTGTGTGTATATTTATATATATATTTATATATATATATATGTATATATATGTATATATAAATATATGTATATATATATGTATATATATATGTATATGTATATGTATATATATATATATATATATATATATATATATATATATATATATATATGTATATATATATATATATATATATATATATATATATATATATATATATATATATATATATATATATATATATATATATATATATATATATATATATATATATGTGTGTGTGTGTGTGTGTGTGTGTGTGTGTGTGTGTGTTTGTGTGTGTGTATATATATAATAATTATTTTTAAAAGTAAACACTTTAAAAAATAATAAAAAATTTGAGCTTTATTTATAAATTTCAACATTTTACATTTATATTTTTGACTGAGACTGACTTTATATTTCTGACACTTATATAAAAATATATAAATTATATAAAAATACTTAATTGTTTATATAAAAATAACCTGTTTTTTATGAATATATTTTCATAAATATATTTTGTAAATACTTAAAATAAAATATTTTTAAGAAGAAACTAAAGTTACAAAAATTATTTGCAAAAACTTTGCCAAATAAAATGATATCTTTAAGGACTTTACTTAGGTAAAAAGAGTTAATGCTGTAATTGAGAACTCATTAGATTTTTGTTTATAGGCCTACATATATATATATATATATATATATATATATATATATATATATATATATATATATATATATATATATATATATATTAGGGTGTCCCAAAAAAAAAAAAAAAAAAAAGCTCTTTACTGATTTCCATTCTATGTGACCAAAATAAGTGCTAAAAAAAATTTGACGGTTTTATTTTGACAGGAAGTGCTAGATGTAAATTCTGAGTTTTACTGTTTTTAATGTTAAGCTGGCTTAATATTATAGAAAACACAATTTTTTTACATTTTAGAAAATTAAAACAAAACAATTAAATGCGTATAAATCATTTACAACTGTTTTCTACTATTTAACTTGATAGTTTATATTTATAAAAATAAAAATAAAAATAAAAAAATACATGAAAACTAATATTTATTAGCAAATTTAAGATTTTATTGCGGTGAAACGTTTCTCAAAAAATACAACTTTTTGAACAGTTCCCAAGCTTCTTTCTACTCGTACTCTTAGTCAAGTTTTTTCTAGACTTCTTAACTACAAAAAGTACATTTTGAAGGTGATCTTCATCTCTAGTAACTCAAATAAAATCTTTAATGAACTTAATTTTTCTTTCTGCACCATCATTTACAACAGATATGTTTTTAATCAATGCAATAAAATCTAGCAACTAAGAATGGTTAAAAACATCTATAGTATTAAGATTATTGTTGAGCCATTCTTTTATACTTGCTCTTGATATTTTAAAATGTATTTTAAAGAGAAGGTAGCTTTTGCACGGAAATCAACTCAGGTAGCTCTGTGGTCTCTCCAATTTGTACATTTGATGGTTTACAACGCTGAAATTTATTTGGCTTTTCAAACTCAATCAGAGCTAACAGCATTCTTAGCTTTGTTTCAGTAGGAACTTCTTTATTCCCAAAGAAAAAATTACAGAGTTGCGGAGTTAAGTACCACGTATGGCGTCTCATGCTGAGAAGCAAAGCCTTTCCAATATTCTTATTGACTTTTCTCAATGCATAGGCTGTCTGGATAGCTTTCGAATTATTGTAGGGAGCCAGAAATCCTAAAAAACTTTTCAAAAACCATGGAACATAGCAAATTGCAATGAACAAACTTGCATCCTTCAACTGCAGCACTTCTTTTTCTGTCAAGATATTACTGATATCTTTGGTCATATAAAAAGTCAGGATGTAGATCGCATCTGCTAAAAACCTTGCCTCATGGCAGGCGCCAGGTTGTTGGAACTTAAAATCTTGTACTTCCGCTCCAAGGAAAAAGGAGACAAGCTTACAAACTATACCATAATTGTTCCTTGAAAACACCATATCAGTAGTTGTATTAGTCAAAAATTTCTTAGCTTCCCCTGCAACAGTGCGAAGAACATAGCCAATCAGCCATATAGTGAGACACATGTACTTTATATATGTGTCTCCTACACATTACCCACAAAATTGGTATTTTCAAAATATCTGTAAGAATTTGGACTGCTCCATTGACTCCGCCTGTATTGCTTGCAGTTGTATCACAGCATATACCAATGATCTGCTCTTTACAATCGTAATATTCTAAAAGATTGTGCACTTGTTCTGCTTGGTCAACTCCCTTTGAAGAAGGACATTGAACAACACCTAAAAGATGGTCTTCCAAGGTATCGTCATTCGGGGAACTCACTGAGACTGCAAGTTGCTCGATTTTTTAAATAATGTTAAGCCCAGTGGTAATTTGTTCCAACAGTTTGGATCTAATTGAAGAATGAGCCGTTGGCCTTTAAGATTATTAGTTATTGAAATCCACTCCAAGTCTCCTTCAAGTTCTACATATTTGAACTTTTTTCTAT